GTGTAAGACAGCTAGAGGATGGCCTTTGAGGTGGGGACAAGTGTCCTAAGTTTTGGTTGAGTTACATCACCCCACAATCTTGCCTCAGCCTCTCCGACTGAGATTTCATTTTTACCCCGCTTGTGCTGCACTCTAAGATATGCCACAAACATCTGTGCCATGTCCCAACCTCATATTTTTCCATTAAAGTGCCAGTTAATTGCAAGCTAAGTGCCTGCCACGTAACCCAAGCCAGGAGAGGACTGCCCTTGGCTCCAGCCCTGCTGTGTGGCACTTCCCAACTGCACTTCCCCTGGGAAAAGCCTCGCGGCTGGATCAGGAGCTGGGAAACGAGGGACTCGGCAGTTACCTGCTCTTCTCACACGTGCTGGTATTTTCCAAGCCAGTCCTGATAAGAGGCCACACCAGAGGGACAAAGTCCAGGTTGGGGGGCCCACATCATCGCAGTATCCTCTGGCTGTGTCTCCCTAATCCACGTGCCCGACACAGCAGCAATAAACTGCAGAGGTGTGCCCAGTATGTCAGTGTTATGCACTTTTGAGGGAATACTGGGGGGTTTAAGGCGTGTTTGGAGCCCTTTTTGTTGCCAATGGAGGCAGTTACTGCTTTTTTAATCTCAGATCATAGAGACCTGTGTGGCAGATCCCAAATCTTGATGACGATGCCAAGGAGATGAGGGGTTATAGTAGTTGCATGTAAGAGAATTTGCTTTGAAGGAAAAAAAAAAGGGGGGAAAATTTTCAGACTACTCCTGATCTTTATGCAACACTGGCTAACTTGCAAATCAGTCAGAAACCAAGAAATGCCGGAGTTGTGCAAACCCCCGTTGGGTCCATGTGCCCGTTTGCCTTGTGCCCTGGGTTTCCATCTCTCTGGGGAGATGCTGAGACATGGGGCGGGGGGGCAAAGGGACCAGGGAAGGCTGCCATTCCGCGAGGACACGGCTTTGCCGGGAAACCCCTCCCTCTCTCCCGGGCTGTTGTTCTGCCAAAAGTCAAGGGACAAAAGTCTGAAACTAATGGAGTGAGAGGGGGAAAGCAGCATCTGCTGATTGCCCGAGCCCTTGCAGAGAGGGCTGTGTGAACTCTGTGCACCTTCTCCCAAAAAGGATGAGGAAGGGTCCTCCTTATCGCCCTGCCAAGAGGGGCCACAAGAGGAGAGGCCTGGCCCCACGTGCTCTGGGACAGCTTCCTGGCTGGAGGCCTGCAGGTCGGATCCTGCCACGCCTGGCTCCCAGTTTTTTCTCGGAGAAAATGGGATCCCGGCAGAGGTGACGTATCCTGCCCAAGCAGTGCAGTGCCAAGGAGGGGAGGGGGCAGGTAGAGCACCAGGAGCTGCTGCTGTCCCCCACATCACTGCTGCAACCACTGGGTCACAGGGGCCTGCGGGAAGAGGGGCAATTGCTTGGAGTAGGATGCATGGCCCTGGACCAATGTCTGATGGATCAGACCTCAGGATCCTCAAACAATTTCTCTGGAGGGGAAGCGAAAGTAATTTCTGTGTTGCTGTAGGCAAGCAAGGTTAGCGCTCTGCATGGAAACGGACAGAAGGTAATAAAACCACAGTGCAATAAGGATGAATAGTCACCCTTAGCAGAAACCCCTGGTTACAGGCCACCCAAACCCAAACTGCCTGGATGCTGGAAGGTGCCATCAGTGCCCTGCAGGCAGGCAGGGTCCTTCGCTGCTGTTCTCTCCATGATAAAAACATTGACTGAGTTTCTAACCAAAAAACTTCCAAAAATTTTTGTTAATCCTTGAAGAGTGTTAGCAACACCTTCTTAACAGGTGAATTTGTGTAGAAAGCTGTGGTGAAGAGCTCCTGCTTGAAACTGTGATCATAGGTGATGAATGACAAGACTTTCTTTAAATGAAAATTAATCTCAGCAAAGGGAAACAATAATTTTTGCAGAGCCAAGCGCACAGAAGAGGAGGAATATCCCAGAGTGATGTGACTGACAAGACTTTGTGGTGAAAAATGTGAAATATTTTGAGTGACACATAGACACTAGTAAGCAGGGAGGCGTTACTGTCCATGCTCAAGGTCTTCTACAGGCAGATGAAGCCCTGGGGGCCGGGGCGGCTCTGGGCCTGGGGACAGGCAGGGGAGTCTTTGGCAACATGCCCTCCCTCCTACACAAAACACCACCAGCCGCCCAGCGTGTCCTGGCACAGAGCCTTTTAGCAGCCGCTCGTGTTTTTAATTAGCTGATGGATTGCAAAGGGCTTTAAAATCAGCCTTTCTCAGAGCAGTGGGACAGCTGAGGTCTGGTGTCCTCAGGATTTACCCCAAAAGCGAGGGGCTGCACGTGTCCTTTGGCACCCGCTGCATTGCAGCACCAGAGCCGCCGCAAGAGCCACTGCCCCCTCTGCACAGCTCGTGGCTTGTCCCATACTGCCTTGATTTCCTATCATTAAAACTTTCACTTTCTGCCATCCAGACAGAAAAAGGGATCCAAAAATGGTTCAAGTGTCATTTCATGGGACAGACAGACAGACATACAGGCTGCCCAAACACCTGCAGCTAATGTCTGCACACAGATCACGCTCAAAATATGTTTCCCTGTTTTCACATCTCCGAGAGGTTTGAATGGGGGCTACATGTTTGGAGTTGGGTTTTGGGGTTTTTTCCCTTCCCTGCTTTGCTGAGTTTGTGTTAGGACGGAAAGAAATGTCAGCGCACGGCGGGGAGGTGCCGGGGCTCCGGCTGGGAGATGCCTCCGATGGGAGAGGAGCAGAGGCCGGGGGGCCATTAGCACCGGGCGAAGCAGCAGCAAGAGGCATGCAGCTTCTGTTAAAACACCCTTTCACTGCTTGTAATAATGGCTCCCTCCTGGTAGGAAATTGCCCTTTCCCCAAACGCGTTCATTCATGCCTTTCCCCTGGAGATGAAAAAGCAACAGGCTGCACATTTATTGGTAGAAAGCTTTAGGATTGCCCAATAATTAATCTTTGTAGAAAAATAGGTTTAAAATAGTGTCAGACACTGAGGGGATTCCTTGCTTTCTAATTACCATCCCGTAATCTCTCTCCTTTCCTTCTCATCCCTGCTTCTGCGGCACTTCCCCACTCCTGCAGCCTGGCCCCTCTCCCTGGGTCTCCCCCAGCCGCCCTGTTCCCAGCAGGCTCCGCCACAGGCGCTGTGATGCTGGTCCCAGTAACGCTCCCAGCACCCCTGGCCTCAGGGCGTGCACAGAGGGGACAGGGCTGAGCCCTGGAGCGCACTCACTTTCTCCGGATAAAGGGCAACGTCCTTGCTCCTGACTCCCAGCCCTCCCAGGGTTTTGGCCTAGATGTGGCAGAAGAAAGTGATTTTTAAGTTTAAACAGGCCCAGAGCTTCTGTATTTATGGCTCATATTAATATTTAAACTGTGACATGAGAAAAAACAAAACAAAACAAAACAAAAACCAGCAAACAAACCCTGCATATAGTTTCATTCTTTTTCACAGCTAATCAGCAACAAAGGGGAGGAGGTTGCTGGGCTCATCGTCTTGGCAGAGCAAACCCTCTTTCTCCAGCTGTCCTCACCTCCCAGTGAGGGCACGGACCTGTGCTTTTTCCAGGGAAGGATGCGCTTGTTTTATTGTTGCCCTGCCTTATTTTGTAGGCGTGATCTGAGATCACCCAGAGACATGTTGATTGAGACAAACTTGTATCTGCTCCTGGGGAAGCAGTGGCCTTAACAGTCAAGGCAGACCTCAGAAGCTCCACTTCATATTGCAGGTCTTGGATGCGAAGATCTCTACCAAGAGGAAAAGCACTCACTGTCCAAGCTGATTTTACTTATGGGGCTAACTATGGGGATGCGGGGTTATCAGTGATGCTATACTTTTCCTAAACGCCCCGGATTTCCATCTGCATGGAAAGCTATTTGAGTCAAACAGGAGTGCTGAAACCTTCAGTCTTGAGTGCTCACATCTATGTAGGCTTGGGAGCCATGGATTTCATAAATGGCAATTGCAGGAAGAGCTCGTACCTACATCCTCTCCACCCTGCCATTGAACAGATTTTATCATTCATTTCAGATTAAATCCTTCACATCATCTCACACAAATGAGGTCTGCATTGTCACCTTTACTGACGTAATGAACTTAAGAAACGGTGTGGTTGTTGGGCTGTTGAATTTTGTTCTTTTTTTGATCCTTTTGTTTTGTTTGCATGAAGGAGAACAGAAACATGAAAGAGCGAGCAAGTCATCATCACAAAATGTACTTCCAGCGGCAGAAAGCGTGTCCTCCAAGCAGCGTTAGGCACCGTGCTAACCCTTCAACTTCAAAAGTTTTAGAAAAGCAGAAATGAAACCCCCAAAGCCAATTGCGTGTTTCCTATATCTCTTTATTGACCGCCACTGACCGCGTTCTCAGGTTGAGTGCCAGATACCAGTGGGAGAGGTGGAGCTACCCTAGAATTACAGCGAGAGCAAGGGAGACGGTGTGTTACGCGCAGGCTGGGGAGAGCCGGCTGGGGACGTGAAGCCTCTGCACAGCGGTGAGCCTCCCTCTCTCCCCTGAGGACCTACTAAGACAGTGGAAAGACGTGCTTGTCTTCGTGTCGGTTGTCCCTAAGGGAAACGACAGGGTAGTGGTGTGAACAGACACACTTAAAGGTTTTGCTGAAAAAAAGTATATGTTGCAACCCCCGAAGGCAAGACATTATTATTTCTCCTGCGGTTGCATGGAACTCATGGCACGTTCATCGCGTGTATGCAGGATCTCAGGCGTGGGGCTTGGCTCTGTTGGTTTGGTTTTTGTTTTTTTCAAGAGTAAACAGTTTAACTCTGCGTGGGGTAGAGCAAGTCTGCAGGGCTTTTCCCCTGCTCCAAGCCCCGCCTCAAGCCTCGGTGCACCAGCAGCCATCATTACTTGTGCACTCCCTCCTACCTGGTGGTGGTTATGGACTACAGCACCGGACGAAGACCCTGTCAGCAAGTACAACAGCGTGGCAGCACGCACCATCCATGCCATCCCCACAGCACAGCTCGCAAGTTTAAGCTTCAAAGTCCACCAGCCGCTCACCCAGCCCCTTGTCCCGTCTGAGGGAAAGGGAAAAAAAAAAAAAAAAAGAAAAAAAGGGAGGGGGGGAACCAACAAAATAAACCCCTCTAGATATTCACTGATATCTATGCAATGGCTCTGGGAATGAGACCTGCAGACGGTGGCAGCCTGCGTACCGCAGCGACAGGCGGGCTTAAGAGGAAGGCGCGGAGGTGGGCTTCTCCTCCCGGGACACAGGGATGGGCCTCTCGCTGTGGCTGGCGTCCATGTTGGAGGGGACCTTGGGTCCTGAGAAGGTCAGCATGCCGTCGTTGGACAGGGAGCAGGTGATGGCAGCCTGGTCCACGTTGGCGGGCAGGCGGTACCGGCGGTGAAATTCGCGGGAGATGTAGCCGTGGTCATCCTGAGAGGCAGTGGGGAAAGGGGGGAAGGTCCGTCAGAAACCCCCCAGCACCGCGCCGCACCTCCCTCTGCCCAACCCCGCGGCTCCGTCAGACGGGGGTCTACATTCGCCCTGGCTTATCGTGACACTGTACTGCCGGTATCGCCGGGTGCATCTCTGCTTTTTATTCTATTATTTTACATGTTGTAGGGGGAAATGTCCCCTCATGATGCCCCTAAAGCTGCAATAGCTGAGCAGAGCAGCAGGGTGTGATTTTGGCCATATTATACCTCGGGATCTGATTTGAATGGGGGCCCTGCCACAGCCTCCGATTTCAAAGGATGCTTGGAGAGAAAGTCTGGGATTCTGCGAAGGTAAAAGCACTGCATGCCTGTGCGCCTGTGTATTTCCTTACTAGGCAGAAATGCTGTGTCAGCCAAAGTACACAATCCTGCCACCCTCTCTTTTTTGGCCAAAAGAATGAGAAATGCAGTAAGTTTTTTTAAGTCAGGCATGAAAGCAGCTGGTCTCTTTCTCTGGAAAAAATAACTACATTAAAAAAATACATACTGTTTCCAGGCTAGAGCTTTCTCCGGCCAAAAAAGTGTATGAGAAGAATTAAACCCCTGCTGGTATAATTCACTTTTCGACCCCCACAGATATTTCCATGACATACATGTTAAAAGTTTCCAAGCCTGAGGCACTCGGTTGTTTTTCTTTTGTTTTGTTTGCTCTTGCTTTTCTCCCCCAGATCAGCATATGAAAACTCTGTTTTCACTAACGATTCTGGCTTATGAAAACTCAGCCATGCTTCGGCCGCGCCAGATGATGTTCTTTGTCTGAGCCAGTGTTATTAGTGAACAATGGACATCATCATCTGACGATGAAAATTGAAAATAAACAAAAGAGGAGTGGATTAGCTCATCATTGTCAGATATCAGGTTGGGGCTCTATGGGAACGGACCATGCCAATAGTGACAACCGATAAATAACTCCTTCTTCTGATACATTTTTCTCCTTCAGCTGAGGACCACTGGAAAGAAAGAAAATGGAGCTCAACCAGTTGCTCCACCATCACCATCACTTCCACTTACCTGTCTTTCACTGTGCTTGCCATGGATTTCCACAAAGTCATCGATAATCTTCACACTCAGGTCTTCGGGAGAGAAGTGTTTTACATCCAGCATGATTGTAAACTTGTCCCGGTCAGACCTCACCTGAAACAAACATTGTTAGACAGTAAGACCCAAGCTCTAAGCGTGGAGGCAGCGCCAGCATTGCTACAGCTTAAAAGCCAGAGAAGGGGTAGTCTGGCAGCGGCATGGTTTCCCTTTCGGCGACTACGGGACTCAGTGGGGGTTTTCCTTCCCATCGCGGGGAGCCAGGAACACTGGGAGGCTGCAGCAGGCATCTGTGCCTTCGCTACTGCTCTGGGGAGAGGCGTCACTTCTCACCACTATTCTTGTGGCGGGGACCTCTTTGCACTCAGCGATCTGCCAGATGCACCGGGCGTTCGTGCTCAGCAGCAAGAGGGGATGGAAACCAGTGTAATAGTCCCTGATAGCATGTGTTTCGTCCTTTCAGCGATTTATAGTTTCTTTGTGGTCTTAGCTCTGGAAGGAGACCAATAAGAGAGGGCTAGAGAAATCACCGGTCCCTGACCTTTGGACCACAGCCCCCATGGCTACATGCTCCTCCTACATGCTGCCTTCGGAGAATTGCTCCTGGGTCGTCCAGCATGGGCTTGCAAAAACCACAGAGCTCCTGAGGAAGAGGAGGGAGCCGGAGGAAGCTCCCACTCACCGGGGTCCTCTCCCACGCAGAGCTGCCCTCATGGGCGCTTACTCCAGGAGCAGCCTAGCTCTTCCCTCGCCATACGACCAGCAGGCACGAGGGCAGCAAAGACAGCCTTTTGCGTGTCAGAAACAACCGTCGGGAGCCAAAATATTTTCCATTTCTCAAAGGGAAGCCTTCTCCCCAGCGAGGGTTTCCCTCCGTGCCCAAGAAGGGGTGGGCGGGCTGTGCTTGGTGGTGGGCCGGAGGTCTTCCTTGCCCCCTCGCACCCCAGCGTGGGGTTACAGTCGCTGGCCCCCGCTGGTGAGCCGTGGGTGGGGAGGAGCAGGCGGAGGCGTAAGGAGGGAGAGGAAGGAAAAGGAAAGGAAGCTGAAAAGCCCTTACCTCTGAAATGCCCGACTCCAGCACGCTGCGGAAGAGGGACTGCCTGTAGTAGGGGCTGATAGTGGAAGAGAACAAAGGCAGGAGATCATACTCAAGGAGACCCTCTCCGAAAAACTGGTCAAACAAACGGCTTGGAATGAGGGGTCCCAGAGCACGCTTGAACCAGGGGTGCTGGATGGTAATGTCCATGCTTGCTGCTGCTGCGACCTGTGGCTGTGAGGGGAGAGCGGTGCGGGCAGTGCTGCTGCTGGGGAGACAGCGATGCCTTGGCTGGACTGCGCAGTGCAGCCCCAGGGAAGCTCCCCCTATATATACCAGTCTCGCAGAATGAAGGCATTAGTGGGATTTCTCTGGAAAGACATGATCTCATGATGGAGGCAACGTGGTCAGCAGAAATGCGGAGACTGACCTGGAAATGACAGTCTGGTTGGAATCGGTGCCAGGTCTCCTGGAGGGACGATGCCAGGCAGCAGGCTGTGAGACATGGGATGCCCAGGGGTACTGGCAGGTTCTCTACGGGATCAAGCAGGTTAAACAGGACACCCTGGCGGGTGTCTTGAGGATGCTTGTGAAGGAGGTCTGTTCTGTGGGTCTTTGTAACCCGCCCTTGGCTTTTTGTTTATTTGCTTCTGTTTCTGCCCCTCCTTGAAACAGAGACACGACGTCTCTTCCAAATAAATAAAACAGCTTTCTTCCAAGTCAGGAAAAAGGGTCTGATTCCGGTTGAGAAAGGGAAACTTTTTTTGTGATGTGCTATACAGCGTCCCCACCACTTAGGAGGGGCCTGATACCCCTGGTGGAGGGATCCTGGTGAGGCTGGCAGGGAAGCAGGACTAATGCTTGATGCAGAGCATGAACACGGGTTTGACAAAACAGAAACTTTTAACAAACAAATACTTTGGCAAAAGAAAGAAGAAAAAATAAGTTTGGTCACCAACCGTAACAGCAGTCCGAGAGCTTCTCTTGAGAGTGTCCTTGTTTTGATTTAGGTGTTTTGTGGGAGATTCATTTATCTCCTGGTGTCACAACACAGATCCTGCTTAACATGCATTTCTGTTTATGGCTGGTTTGCATTTCTGTTTCACTTAAAGCTGCCTTTAAGGGGTTGTTCACCATCCTGGATGGACCAGGGAAGGGGTAAGTGGGCGTCTCACTGTGGGAGCAGCAAGCTCTGCCAGAGAGCTGAAGCGGCTGGGTGGCAAAAGGATGGCGAAAGCACAGCAAGGCTGCACGGCTCCAGAGCAAGGCTTGGCACGAGGCCACGGCAACAGCCAAAACCCCATTTCCACTGGAGCCAGTGATGTAGGGACTGCATCCATCCTAGGGGACTTCTGGAGAGCAGAAGCACCTACGTTAGGAGTCTTGTGTGTCTTAGCACCTTTTGCAGTCAGCGGAGAGCAAGGGAGAAAGAGGAGAGGGCACCTCCAAAAGGCAGTTTGGAACTGACGGGCTGGATGATCCTCTTCTGGTGTCAGAGACTAAGGAAACCAAGGGTGGCGGAGATCCTGGCATCAGTGCTTCAGGAGAAATGGGATCAGTTCAGAGGAGCTAAATTCAGAAAAGCACTGAGGCAAAGTGACATACAGTTGAACATCCTTGGCTCTGACTCCCACACAGTGCATGGAGGCAGGTGAGGAAAAATGGGAACCAGAAGATCCGGTTACAGAGGCTTTCCTTCATGGAAAGCAAAATGTTCAGCAGAAAAACACCCAAAAAGGCAGTAGAGACCTCTAACAAGACAGACAAGAGTTTAGGTTGAATCTCACCTAGTTTCAGCAAGAAAAGGCCCTGTGGTCTGGCCATGGCTCTCGGCCATGAAGGCTTTTCTAAAATCAGGTGCCAGAATGAGATCAATCCCTCCTTGAGACATGCAGGAAAAAATCACAACAGGCAGACCTAACCTCCATTTAGTCCCATTGTCCCAAATCTGTCATTTTGCTTGAGAAAATGAAGGGAAAGCAAACAAGAGTCATAAAGCTCTTGACAAGAGTCAAGAGTCATTTTCTTCAAGAGCTCTAGAAGATTTGGGTCTTTGCCCCAGGAGAGAAGAAAATTTCTCCTCAGCCACCCAGTACCAGAGACCTGCTAACCTGTATTTAACCAAATGGCAGCAGTGACCCAATATACGCAGAAAGGAGAGATACAGGAACAGGTTCAAATCCCAAACCACTTGCTGGAGCACACATAGCAAATGATTTATTTGGCTGGTAGAGGACCAGGTGGGTGACACAGAAAGCGAGACATGTTTTGGGGTCTGACAAACCATATGGGCCCCTGTGATGCGTGAGGGGTGGATGCAATCCCTGCAGTGTGTTGGGAACATCCCCTTTCCAAACCAGGGGTTACACACAATGGCAGGCTCCTCCCTGGGCATCTTTCAGTCCTTGAGAAACTGCCAAACCCTTGAGGTCTGACCTCCAGCATGTTCCCCATGCAGGAACAGGGGCAGATTATTGGGGTGGGGAGGAAGGAGGGAGACCAGGTGGGCTGTACCTCTCTCAGCAACACCAACCAGCAGCACATCAGTACTCTCAGGCACCAAGAGAGCAGTCGCTTGCCTACACACCACCACTTACCTCACAGGGAAGCCCAACAAAATCCATCATCCACCCGTGGCCTGAAGCTTGCTCCAGGATCGGAGCATGTGTGTGTTTGACATGTGATTGGAGCATCCTGTATGTACACTGGGATGATGGGAATGGGCTCTTGAAAGAAAAATGACAAATATATCTTCACTTAAATTTCATCTAAAATTATGTATATTACTACACATTCAAATACTTGAAAAGTGGCAGCCAACTTTATGATTTTATGTCTTTAGTTTCTTCTGGACCCACGTTCTCATGGCTCTCCCTAGAATTAATTACATCCATTTTATCTTTGATGGCCATTTTTGGGCAAAATATTTCACCGAGGAAAATAAATGTCATTTACAGAAGTTTTTTTTTGATACAGACTTCGCACTGCCTGCATGCCTCTGGGCAACAAGCAGTCTCCTGAGACTCATGACATCTAACTTCCAACAGTCTAAAACTTAGGTGTCCAGTCCAAATGAGTGGCCCAGGCTCCCTGTCCAGTCAGTGGAGAGAGACAGATGCCTCCAGATGGCTCACATGATAATGCAGGTGGCTAGGAAAGGTGAAATGAGACACCGTTCAGCAGTGCTTACATCTCACCTGACTAAAGAGGAAGCCTGGCCAGCTGCCTTAGGGGAGGCAATTCTAAGGCCAACCTCCTTCCGGACAAGCAGGGCTGGTGAGATGAATCCCGTCTAGTGTGATTTGTGCCTCCTCTCAGAAGGAAACTACACCTGGGAATACCAAGAGGGAAATGGCAGTTACAGACTCCACTTACTGGATTAAATAAAGAATTCAGTATGAGAGGAGAAAGCAACCACTTTGCACCAGTTCAGGGGACCAGACTTCTCACAGGATGCACGACATTTGTGCATCATTATCACCTACTGAGCAAAAGCAGTGAGATCTGTTGGCGTTCCTATAAAAGGAAGAAAAACTTGTGCATATGCTCACGAGCGCACCCAAAAGCAATGTATCAAAGGCAGGTTTTCCCAAAGCTTTGTTGCAAATTTGGAATATGAGTCCAACTCAAAAGGTCTTCCAGGAGGATCTGCTTACCTTTGAAAGAATCCCTTCCTAAACTATCATGGATAATTGCCAGCACATGAGACGTTTATTAAACAATGTTGCCCAGGACAAGCTGCAGAAATCCTAGATCATGTTTCTGAGTAAAGCAGGCATTCAGTGATCAAGTACAGCCCTTGCTTGTATTTAGCTGCTATTAGTTTGCCCGCATGACTGACTCTCACCTACCGATTTCTAGGTGAGTCCAGTGCTGTTTCCAACCCCCATACCAAGCCCTGTACAAGACCAATGTGAAGAGAAAAGCAAGTATTTAAGTGAGGCAGTGACTGCTCAGGTGTAACTGTAGAGGATTTGTATGTGATTCTGAAGCACTAATGTAACTGAGATTACCATTTCCACCTGGTGTGTTGTAGCCCCAGGAGAACCAATCTCTCTGCTCAGGTCTGCATGTCCTCTTGAGTCAAGTGGTCTCTGTTACCCTGAAGACGGTGCAACTCTTCAGATAGCTCTTATAGAAAACAGGAATGAGTCCCGGTGCTTTTTCTTTCAAATAGACCTGTCAATCCAACAAGGTACGACCATACTTATTTAGATGGTCCTCGGCATTTAGATGTAAGCTGTTTAGTGACAATGTAAGGGAGTGAATAATTTCTGCAATATTTAATGATAAAATTGTTGCAGCATGCTAATCAAACTAAGTTTTCCCTTTGGAGGAACCTTTCTATGAGGTACAAAAAAGGAGTACATGACAGCCACACAGAGTTAGGGCAGGTAGTAATGTGATTTTGTTGCAAGTTTTCTTCCTACCAGTCTTGCTGTGGTGGAAAATACTACATAATGTGTGTGAGGGAGCTGGTGAGTGGGAAAAAAACCAACCATGCTTTTCTTAATCTTACATAGACCTAGCTTTGGAAAGGATGCAAGAAGTCCATAGAAGTCAGTATGCAGGCAGACAAGCTAAGAGGGCACTAGGGAGCCGGCATTTTCAGTTTTGGCTCCTGAGCTGCTAAGCACTTACTAAAAGCTCTCCCTAGAAATGAATACAGAGCATTTATTTCTTTCTTTTCAAGGGAAGAGTCCTTTCTTTAGAAGACTCATATCCTGTTCCTCAAACACAGCATGCCACCCAGGGCAGTTCCATGATCAGGAGCTTCAAGCCTTTCTACCACAGTTTTCCCTGGGATACTGGTGGAGAAAGGAGCAACTGACTCATTTTTCCTCTGCACTCCACCCCCCCACAAAATATCATGGAAAGCACTAGAGTAGTTATTTCTGTCGAGTTCTGAATGTTGTTGATATCTTGCTAAAGTTTGTAATGGGTGGGAGGAGGTGAGGCCATGTTATCAGTGCAATTTACACACCATGCTTAACTGTGGTTGGGGCTGCAGGGCTAACACAATGGGAGGGCTGACATGAGAGAAGGCTGATGTGATATTCTTTTTTTATTAGATGAATAAGTGTTTCTTGTTAAAAGCAAAGAGAACACTTGAAAACCCCTCTTTGAGGATAGTTCATAGCAAGAAAGAAGCCAGTTAGTGGGAGGGTTGCTACATGCTGAGTACCTTTGAAAATCAGGCCATGTATTAAGAAGTTTAAATATAGATCTAGGAGCCTAACTTTCGGCAAGTATATTAAAAAAAAAAAAAAAAAAAAAAAAAGATTGC